TACTTGGATCAGTTCGTCATCGTCTTCATCGATGACATACTCGTCTACTCTCGTAGTAAGGAGGAACATAGTCAACATCTGCGATAGGTCTTGGAAACACTACGTTCGGAGAAGCTCTATGCGAAGTTCTTGAAATGTGAATTTTGGATCCGATGAGTCGAATCCTTAAGGCACGTGGTTAGCAAAGAGGGAATACACGTGGACCATTCAAAAATCAAAGCCATTGAGAATTGGTCAGCACCGAAGATGCCTATAGAAATTCGTCAATTTCTAGGTCTCGCTGGCTACTATCGTAGGTTCATTCAGAACTTCTCCCGCATTGCGAAGCCTCTTACAACATTGACCCAGAAGGGCGTGGCCTTTGACTGGGAAGAGAAACAGGAGAGAGCATTCTAAACGCTCAAGCGAGCCTTGTGCACCGCACCAATACTATCCGTCCCAAAAGGGATAGAAGACTTCGTTGTCTATTGCGATGCGTCAAATCAAGGGCTCAGATGTGTTATGATGAAGCGAGGTAAGGTCATCGCCTATGCCTCGAGACAGCTGAAGACACATGAGGTCAACTACACTACCCACGATCTTGAACTAGGAGCAATTGTATTTGCTCTGAAGATCTGGAGACACTACCTATACGGTACAAAAAGCACTATCTTTATAGACCACAAGAGCCCGCAACACATATTCGACCAGAAAGAGATCAACATGAGACAATGACGGTGGGTCGATCTACTCAGTGATTACGAACGCGAAATCCGTTATCATCCGGGTAAAGCCAACCTAGTAGCTGACGCCCTAAGTCAGAAATAATATTCTGGTCGTAGAGTCAAATCATTGACTATGACTATCCATTCACACTTGTCCACACAAATTAAGGAGGCTCAGCTCGATGCTTTGAAACATGAAAATGTGGCGAGTAAATCCCTGAGAGGGATGGATAAGAACTCGGAGGTCAAGGGTGGTGGAGCTTATTATCTCATGGATCGGATCTGGACCCCGAAATACGGTGGTTTCAGAGACTTGGTCATGAATGAGGCGCACAACACTGGTTATTCTGTCCACTCAGGTTCAGATAAGATGTATATGGATCTTAAAAAGTTATACTGGTGGCCTAACATGAAAGCGGAGATTGCTACCTTCGTGAGTAAATGCCTTATTTGCACCAAGGTCAAGGTCAAATACCAGAAGTCCTCAGGTCTACTACAACAACTAGAGATACCAGAATAGAAGTGGGAGCAGATCACTATGGATTTCATAACCAAGTTGCCCAAGACCACGGGTGGAATTGATACCATATGGGTCATCGTCGACAGATTGACCAAGTCCGCACACTGCCTGCCTATTAAGGAAACAGACAAGATGGAGAAGCTTACAAGAACTTACATATGGGAGATTGTACGACTGCATGGTGTTCCCATATCCATTATCTCGTACAGAGATAGCAGATTCACTTTGAGGTTTTGGCAATTGCTACAAAGTTCCCTAGGAACAAGGCTGGACATGAGTACAGCCTACCATCCACAAACCGACGGACAAATTGAGAGGACTATCCAAACCTTGGAAGATATGTCGCGAGCCTGTGTAATTGAATTTGGGAAAGCATGGGATACTCATTTACCCCTTGTTGAATTTTCCTACAACAACAGTTATCACACGAGCGTAAAGGCTGCTCCATTCGAGGCCCTCTATGGCCGAAAGTGCAGATCCCCTATGTGTTGGGCTGAGGTGGGTGATACCCAGCTAGCTAAAGGACGAGTTCCTAACATCACTCTCACAGGTCCGGAGATCATACGGGAAAGGACAGAGAAGATCGTTCAGATTTGTGAACGATTGAAAGCCTCTAGAGACCGACAGAAAAGCTACGCTGACAAACGAAGGAAACCGTTGGAATTCCAGGTGGGCGACCGTGTTCTATTGAAGGTCTCACCTTGGAAAGGCGTGATATGCTTTGGAAAACATGGAAAGATAAATCCAAGGTAAATTGGGCCTTTCAAGATTCTCACAAGAATCGGTCCTGTAGCTTACAAACTTAACTTATCGCGCGAACTCAGTAACATACATTCTACTTTCCACGTCTCGAACTTGAAAAAGTTTCTGTCTGACGAGACTCTTGTAATCCCACTTGACAAGATCGAGATCAATGAGAGCCTCAACTTCGTGGAAGAACTAGTAGAGATTATGGACCGAGAGGTCAAGAAAACGAAACAAAGCCGCATCCCGATAGTGAAGGTTCGCTGGAATGCCAAGCAAGGACCTGAATTCACTTGGGAGCGAGAGGATTAGATGAAACTGAAATATCCTCGTCTTTTTACTTAGTTATTTGTAAGTACTTATTTTCTTAAACTCTAATTTCAGGATGAAATTCCTTCTAACCGGGGGATGATGTGACAACCCAAAATTTCTATTATGTACAGCCATTCAATTCAATAGAAGTCAGAACAGTTTCTGCTAACTTTCAAGCTTTTTGGAATAAGTTTGAGTGTTTTAAAGTCAGTACTTCGGGAGATATCAGGAGAGAGTATGCCCTAGGGTTTATTGTGCAACAATAATGTCCCAAAACTCCAAAAGTTTGGAGTTTATGGCCTAAACAAAGGTGTTTACGGCCGTAAACCCTAAAAGGGGGTATAAATATGACACTTAGTCATTATTTACCACTTTTCACATTTTCAAGATCCAAAACTCAATTCTCTCTCAAGTATCATCCAACCTTTCTTCTTGATCTTCAACTATGTAAGTGTTTCTTACCCTAAAAAGTTGATATCTTGCTTAACCTAGTGATCCAACATGATTCCATCTGTGAAATCATTCCAAATTGTAGATCCTCAAGTTTCACCAAGAACACATACTAGTGTTCTTGGACTTTTAGCACCTTTTCAAGCTTCTACCTAGTAAGTACTTCTATCCTAGAGTATTATAAAGCTTGTTACACTTATAAGCATCTAGAAAACACCAAGGAATCAAGGATCAAAGGTGTTTACGGTCCAAGAACACCTTGGACCGTAAACCCTAAAAAGGGTGCCAAAGTGTGCCCTAGTCCCTTATAAGCCTTGGAAACTAGCCTAGATCCCTTCCTTATTGTGCCTAGGACTCAAAACAACCAAAAGACCATAAATAATTTGGGTTTATGGCCATAAACCCAAAAGGGAAATGGTCCAAGGACTGTAAACTCCTAAAAGGAGTGAAATGGTGCCCTAATCTCTTCCTAAGGCTTAAACATGAAGTAGGAATCCTTCTTGTGATCTTTAAGGCTTCAAAACACAAAATGGTCAAAGAAACATGAGTTTATGGCCGTAAACTCATGGGTTTACGACCGTAAACTCAATGAGTTATGGTCTCAAAACCGTAAACTCAAATAAAGGGTTCCCTTGAACCCTAAACTCAATAGCAAGGTCCTACCACCCTTAGATACAATCCTTAGGACTTATAGCACTTATATCAAGTGTTTTACATGTCTTAGGATGACTTAAATTTGGTTAAGTTAGTTGTATTATGACTAATTGGATACATATATGTGTTATTATATGTTAACTAGGATCCTTGTGTGTGTTCAAGTCTTCACTTGACACTTAGCATCCTATAACATCCGTTCATCCAAACCACTCACTACAGGTGAGTTCATACCCCTTAATTAACCTTTTAAATGTTTTTTAAATGCTTTTATGGGGGGGGGGGGAAATACAAGTTGAACTATTATAGTTATTATATCAATCACATGTGATTAATAACTACCAAACAAATGGATTTCTTACTTTCCAAACCGTGTTATTAAACTGTTTTACAAACTCTTTTACATGTCAAATGCTTTTATTTAAACTATTTTAAAATTATATACTGTTAAATGTGTATCTATATAGATATAGTTATATAAGTAGGATTGAACGGACTTAGGACTGATAGCTCACCTTACTTCCTGTTCATTGTTTGGTTGTGGACTTAGGGTATGAAGGTTATTTGTCCGAAGGTCATTTGAATCCTAGTTATATATTATGTATATGTATATAGATATAAAAGGTTACTTCTTTCTATTCAATACCTTTGGGTAGGAAAGGCATACACACAAGTTCATATACATTCAAACAATATTACTAGTAAACTATAATCAGTATAGTTTAGGGAGATACTAATACTATTACTAGAACAATGAAACATACAACGAGTCAGTTCATACATGAGTCAATAACAAACAAACAATAGAACACTATGATGAGAACAAACAATAGAATACTATGATGAGAAACAAACAATAGAATACTATGATGAAAATCAAAGGGACGACCCTGGTTGTTAGACACTTATGTCTAATTAATCAAAAATCAAATCATAATTATTTGTTTTTACATTAGTTAGGGATTGAAATTTCAAATGTTTCAGTTGGGATAGCACAGAGTTCAACATTGACTTCTTAATTCCTCTCTATATATATTCCAACTCAAAACACAATGATTGTAATAATGCTACATTCTCTGGTGATTCACTTTTCGATGTCATATCCTATGATCATAATTAGGATTGTGCTAGGACTCAGGCTAGATCCGAAATCATAAAGTTATGCTTCCTTTATTAGCTATAAAATTGGTAAGGGATTTCTTTGTAGATTTAAATTTAAGATCTACATCACTGCTCATAGCTGCAAACCTGAAAGGAAAACTCAGTCTAAAGGAACAAGGGTATTTTTCAACTTTCAGATGCTTTTACTTTTGGCCATTTTCAGATGTTGTAATTACAAGTAGGGTTTCGTTGACTTAAATTGTTGTTCCAGGGCAGTATGTATGGGATCCTATGATTGAGGCAGAAGTGAGGAAAATGTTGGTAAAAAAAGGTTCCGAACTTATTGGGAAGGGTGAATGGTCCTCAAACCATAACTCATAATGGTTGTTCTCCATGAAATATTTGAATGAGCTTCATCCTCTACATCAAATCATGGTCATAGATATGACGTATTCTTAAGATTTAGAGGTCTTGATACTTGTAATAGTTTCATTAATCACCTTTATAATGCCCTCATGCATGCCAACATCACTACCTTTCTGGATGATGAAGACATTGAAACGGGGGAAGATCTGAAACCCGAATTGGGGAGTACAATTAACTCATCTAGGGCTTTTGTTATAGTGTTGTCCAGGAACTATGCTGCTTCCACATGGTGTCCTGATGAACTGGTGTTGATCCTTGAGCAACGTAAGACATGAAACCATATTGTTGTACCAATCTTTTATCATGTTGAGACCACCTATATGTCAGGAAAGAAGAAAGTAGCTTTGGAGATGCAATGGATAAGTATAGATAGAAGATGGAGGCAGAGACATATGAAAATAAAAAATGTCAATGGGCTCAAAAGATTGACCGATGGAATAAGGAACTTATAGAAGTTGTTGATTTAAAAGGAAAGGATGCAAATGGCAGGTAACCACTTTCTAACCCATATTTCCTTACTCCTATTATATTGATAAATTAGTGCATGAAATTCGATATCATCTTTTCCTCATGCATATCAATACATTTCTTCACAATCTTCAAATAGCCATATTTTTTATTTATATTAAATTCGGATCAATCATTTAGAAATTATTGAAGTTGAATCTAATTTTTGCAGTTATGTGATTTTCTAAATTAATTCATATAATTAGGTTATCCATTCTGCTAATTTTAACACATTTTGTATGCATTTATTATTTTATTTCATTTAGATAATCCATTTTAATGATTTTTATATGATTTTAATTGATAAACCAAAATTTGAATGCTTGTATTTTTTATTTACTATTTTTATATCATTTTATCTTCAAATCATATCATATGTATTATGATAAATAAATGTTCTTGTAAGTAATAAAGGTTAAGTTATTACTATTGATTGACATTTTGTTATGATTCGAGCAATATTACATCGATATTTAAGTTAGGTGGTTTTGTAAAAACACAATGCAATTTTGGTGGCCCATTAATGAAATCTTGTAATACATTGGTGGCTATGGTCTTATTTAGATGATAATTATGACCTTGTAATTATAGGCTTATATGGTTAGAAGTGCAAATATGATAATCTTTATGATGTTAAAAACTTAACCAAAGAATAACTTAATATGCTATGATTTTGATTTGGATAAAAAAAATCTCTAATATGGCATTATGTTACTCTTTTGGATTGTGTTTTTTAGTTCTTACTAAAATAAAATTCCAGGCTAGAGGTGGAGCTTATTGATGAAATTGTAAACGACATCTTCCGTAAATTACAAATACCGTGAAGGTTTCCACTACCACAAGTTATTGGGATGGACGATTCCATTAAATTTGTCACTTCATGGTTGAAAGATGCATCATCACATACAGCAAATATACTCACTATTCTGGGTATGGGAGGGATCGGGAAGACATCTTTAGCCAAATATGTCTATGCGTTACATTTTCATGAATTTAACACAAGCAGTTTCATTGAAAATATCACTTGGAGATGTGATAAAAAATCTAATGGAATGCTTGATGTACAAAAAAAATTGTATGATGACATTTTAAAATGAAGTTCAGTTAAAGTTCATGATGTTTCTACATACACCTCAATGATAGAAAATGCAGTTGCTTATAAAAAAGTGTTTCTAGTTCTAGATGATATTGGTAGTCTTGACCAATTAGATGCGTTACTTGGAAGCAAAGGTTTTCATCCAGGAACAAAAATCATAATAACAACGAAAAACTCATACTTCAAAGAGAGTTGTGCAATATTCAAAAAGAATGTTAAACCCAAACATGCTCGGTACAAGCTTATAGGCTTATCTGAGATCGATTCACAAAAACTTGTGTTTTCATGTATTTATGTGCAACGATCCAAAGGCAGGTTATGAAGAGGTTTCAAAAAATCTCGTGAAGTATTGTGAAGGACATCCAATGTCCCTTAAAGTTTTGGGTAGGTCTCTGCATAATCGCGATGTAACATATTGGGAGGAGTACGTAGAAATGCTGAAGAAAGAAAATGGTCACCCTATAGTTAATGTATTGAGAATGAGCTTTGACTCTGTGCCATTCAAAAATGATAAGGAGTTGTTTAAGCATATTGCTTGTTTCTTTGTTGGAATGGATAGAGATGTTACTGAAACAATATTAAAGGCATGTCTGTAACAACCCGAAGTTCGTTCCATCGTCGTAACCAGATACGTCATTAAAAATTCATCGTCTTAAATTGTTTCCGTTCGTTTCTAAATTAAGTCATTTATTTTAAGTTTGTAATTATGACTTAATAATTGTCCAAGTACGTTAAAAATCCATGGAAACGCTTCAATTTATTAATTTGAAAAATAATTGTTTTATTCCGTCAAGTTATAAAAATAACTTAATCGGGTGCGACCAAAAGCCCCGTTTAACGTCGGTATCGGTAGAATTACACCGTGTCCCGAATTTAGGACCGATTTAAAGCTCAAAAGACTTCATTTGAAGCTTTTCCTCTCTCTCACTACTCTCTCTCTAACCTCTCTCCTCAAACTCAAGAATTAGGTCCAAAATCATCAAATTTAAGCTCCAAATCACCAAGGTAACTACCCTAACTCCTAGTATAACATCATAGACCTTCAAATTCGAGTTCAAATCATGGAATAGGACCATATTCATGAGTTTACAGCCCTAGAATAGTCCTAGGCCGTGAACTCACATAAAATGGGTTTTGGAGCCCAAAAACCCTTCCAATCGACCTTTAGAGCTTAGATATGACTTAAGGGCTTACCAAAATGGACTTAGAACACCTTGAACTTAATTTTTGGAGATTAAACATGAGTTTACTCCGCAAGAACATGCTTGGTCCGTAAACTCCATATCATGGGGAGTAAACTCATTTTGAAGTGTTAAAATGTCATTTAAACACACCAATAGCCTTGAAATAAATTCTAGAATCAACCACAAACAACTTAGAAGCCTAAAACATAAGGAAATCAACCCCCTAAGGAGTTCACAGCCATAAGAAGGAGTCTTGGGCCGTAAAATCCTAAAACTATGTCAAATGGTGCCCAAATTTAACCCCTAGACTTGTAAAATAGCTTGAAATCACATGTGATTAATTAAGGACCACCAAAACATCAAGGATTTAGTGTGATGCGAGTTTACGGCTGTAAACTCCAAGTTTACTACCGTAAACTCCAATAAATGGTCCATAAGTGAGTTAAATCCATTCCAATGCCCTAGATGTAATCCTAGCTAATTTTCCCAAGTGATATAGAGCCATTTAGGAACCAAAAGCACCCCACCATGAGTTTACGGCCGTAAACTCATGGGGAATGAGTCATTAGGGCCGAAAACTCTAGTATGAGTTTACTCTTGAAGAGTAAACTCCATATCCAAGCCTTATGTGTCCTCAAATGCCACCTGGGTCCTTCCAAACACTTGTAATGAAGTGTTTTCGCATCTAGAAGCATATGTCCTCATCTAATAAATAATTTAAGTTCTAATTAGATACAATTGTGTCTCTTTTCATAATACATAGGAATCTTGTGCGTTTGCAAACCCGGAACTGACGTTTAGGATCCTAACTGATGCGTTTCTCAACCGGTGAGTTCATACCCCTACCCTTTTTCAAATGTTTTCAGGAGGGAATACAAGCAAAAGTACAAGGAAATCCTGTACTCAAACTTATTATTTTCAGTTCAAATATCTATATCATGTATGTTTTTAATATCGAAAACTGTGTTAATCAAATAGTTTGAATTACGAAGTTAGCTTTCAGACTAATCATAGATTTCTTGATAAAGTGTTACAATCTAAATTATATTTCATAATCTACGAATAATTCATACTAATCATCAATTAGGAACAGAACGAATACGAAAATACAATTAGAAACAGAACGAATACGAAAGTATAACTAGGAATAGAATGAATAGGAATACTAAAATAATAATGCGAAGTTAATAATAGGAATACGAATATGAATGTGAATACGAATACAAATACAAATAGAATTAGGAATAGGAATAGGAATACAAATACGAATGCGAATACAAATAGAATTAGGAATAGGACTAGGAATACGAATACGAATACGAATACGAATGCGAATACGAATGCGAATACAAATAGGATTAGGATTAGGAGTAGGAATACGAATACGAATGCGAATACGAATACGAATAGGATTAGGATTAGGAGTAGGAATACGAATGCAAATACGAATACGAATACGAATAGGATTAGGATTAGGAGTAGGAATACGAATACAAATGCGAATACGAATGCGAATACGAATACGAATACGAATACAAATACGAATACGAATAGGATTAGGATTAGGAGTAGGAATACGAATACGAATACGAATAGGACTACAAATATAAATACGAATACAAATATAAAAATACGAATATGAATATGATTAAGAATAAGAATACGAATATGAAGGCACACATCTAGGTGCATTCAAATGTAATATAATTAGGATATCAGAATATCTAGCTAATATAACAAGTATGATAGACAATCAAACGTTACAATTGGGATTCAATAACTAAACTTACTTTTAGGAAAATATTGGATTTTCCTGGGATAACAATTGTACATAACCAGAATTGTGTAATAAATCAGTTAATGAAATTTTACATATAAGAAAATATAGGATTTTCTTGAATAACAATCTTTTCGGAAAACCAAAGGGAACTTGTACATTTTCAGAAAACAAACATCTTATGAACTCACCAGCTTTATGCTGATTTTCAAACTGCTTGTATTCTCAGGTCCATTTTAGACAGGTACCCAATGATCCTTTTTGGAGAAGACGGAGCGTATAGAAGACTCGTTTCTACTTTTGTCTATATATATATATATACACACACACACACACATATGTATCATCACTTGTAACACTTTACTTTTGAATAAATGTAAATTCTAATATGTAATTTAATGGTTGTTTAATTGCTTACTATGTACATTGGATTTGATACTCAACATGGAGTCCGCCCCGAAAATGTTTCCGCCTTCGGTTTTCGGGGTGTGACAGATTGGTATCAGAGCCCTTGTTTATAGTGAACTAGTATACCAAACCTTTTATGGTATAAAACTATAAACACTAAAGGGCCTAAGTGCTCTGAACTAAAAGTATACCTCGAATATAAGTATTTTCAAAAGTATACAAGTATACCTAACCGTCGAAATCCGTAACTACAAGTAGAACAAAACATAAGTAAGTGGGTGTTGTACTTTGCGGTTAAACATGGGCAGTTATGTAGTCGTGTCTAGGATCAATATAGCCTGGCTAACTATATTCATTCGAGACACGGCCAACATGTGCTTGGGAGTGACTGTGGTGTATGACATGCCTAAAACTTACCCAATACCCAAACAATGAGTCGTCGTTGCAGCGAGACATGAAATACTATGGGAGTATTTCTCGAGCCAAATACGTTATAGAGATCCTTAACCCAGCGTTGTTCCTCAATCATTCCTTTAGCGATAATTTATCTGTTTTGATAATTCATTCCTGCTTTATCGCTTAATAGAATTCTATGTCTGTCATAAAGAGATATCCCTTGTTTCAAATCTCTTGATTCAATTCAGAGGACTTACCATCCTCTTTTTCCTGATCTTTTTAAATCAAGATATTGTTGGATTAATGTCTAAGTCCATAACTATAATTGGTAAGACTTGACCCGACCCGGCATGGTCCATTTGGGTTGCATGGCATCATGCACTTGGATAGACTATAATGAGAGAAATAAGACACTTATGGTTATTAATATATTATAAGTTCTAGTATATTAATAATAAGAATAATAAGATTATTTAATTAGTATTGATCAAGAATTAATCTAGGATTAATTAAATGATCAAAAGAAGTCTAATTAAATATATGGGTTGATTGTGTAAATCATCCATACTTGTATAGTGGGCTAATGCTCCATGGATTATCTAGTTGGGCCAAAACCCATATGATGCTCCATGGATGCTCCATGGTGTATTTGAACCCATGGATCCAAGGAAATGGAAAGTCATGACAATTAGGGTTTGCCCTAATTGTAACGCTATATAAAGATATTATTCTTGACAAAATTGGCGACTAGTATTATTCTAGAGAGGGCTAGCCGATTTCATGAAGTGTAGAATTCTCTCTAAGTTATTCCAAGTGTTTATGGTGTTGTGTGAACCATTTGAGGTGTCACACTTGGGGCACTAGGCACTCAAGCTTCATGAAGACATTCTACATCAAAGAGGTATGTATTCTATCTTGTTATATTGTTTGTTTTGTATGCTAGATTAGGATAATACCTTGGATGTTTATATTTGCATGTATAATAGAGAAAACATAGATCCAAGGTATTTAGGGTTGCATGTACACTTAGGAGTGTTAGAATGCTCATAACCCAACAGTGGTATCAGAGCCTAGGCTTGTTTTCTTGTTATACTTGCAATAGAAGCTGAAAAATCGAGTTTTGTGCTGTCACCCAGCAGACTCGCCGAGTCCATGAAGGGACTCGACGAGTCCAAGGCAAAATGCATCCAACTCGCCGAGTTGTGTTCATGCACTCGACGAGTTGGACCCCAGACAGCATATTTCGAGGTTTTTGGCTAGAAATGGACTAGGAACATTACCCTAAGTTGTTTTTGAACTTATAAACTTGTTTTTTAATGTGGTAATGTTCATGCTAATCCATTTTCAAAGATAATTGTCAATAGATTCATGTTTTGTATTAGTTTAAAGGTTAGACTAATTACATGAAAAAGTTTGATTTGAATTATCTTGTTCTTATGAGTTGCTTAGATTAATAGAAAAGTTGAATGAAAAGTTGTTTTCAATCCAAATTAATCTAAGAGTTGATTCTAAAATGTGTTTTTGTAACTTGTCCTCAAGTTATATGAAAAGTCACATTTAAGTTTCATAAAACTCATAAAAGTTGGCAAAGGTTACAAAAATGAAGAGTCTAGTTCTAATTAATTGGAGTTATGACTCCATAATTTGTCCTCAAGTTATGGAGGACCAAGAGTCTCTTCATTAAATAAAAAAAAAAATAATGTAACCTTAATTAATTCCATAAGTTATAAAAAAAAAAAAGTTAATTCTTTTATTAGTTTAAAGTCTTCCATAAGTTATGGAACTTGAAGAGTTTTTGGATTAAAACTACTTTAAACACATAAGTTATGGA